ATTCAACCTTATCTGCTGTATATGTCTGGACTTCGAATTGATTGAATGGAAGAGGTATTGAGGTTTTGCTGTTGTTCAGTACACTCTTGCTGAGTCGGCAATAGTCTGTAAAACCGAACTAGCAAGATGCTATGCAAAGAGATTTGAGAGTTGAAAATATCTTGTGTATGTCTTTAACTCTTCTTAAAATTATCGAAAAGGATATGTTTTTACTTGACTTTCCACGAGTCTGATTTTTTTTTCTTTTCGTCAATCGAAACGTTATTTTGAAAAGTGCTTGAACAGAGTGCATCTTCTGGCTCCACTAGGTCTAACCTTCATGGCTAGGACACGCCATGCCACTTACATATCAGCAAACCACCCGCATTTCCTCCGTATTCCATTGGCAAGAAATAAGTTCCACTCAAACAGCTTCTTTCCGCAAACCACTGTCCTATGGAACAGACTCCCAAGAGAATGTTTCCCCAATCACTACAATCTGTTCAAGACTATTTGAAGATTATAGTTATAAGGGAAGCAAGTAAGAGGAAGGGAATTCCACTGTTGGGAAGTGCAAGATAAGAAGAGTAGAAGATATGGCTATATTTAACGATTTTGACAGTAACGTAGTAGCAAGCTTAAATTCATAAAGTCTGGGAACCAGTGAAAGTAGCTCATCAGAGCAGTTGTCATGAAAATGTTGTAAAAGAGAGAGGGAAGCCATTTCTCATGTCTGTGAGAAAGTGTAAATGAGATGCCAGATCAGGACCCATCACAATGCATATCTGTCTCTGGATTTAGTTCAAAAGCATTTCAGAGTCCTTGTCGGAGAAGAATTATTGTCCACCCTTCAAACTCTCTCTCTCTCTCTCTCTCTCTCTCTCTCACACACACACACACACAGGCAGGATGTGGTGAATCTCTCACTGCTGTATTACTACTACCATGGAAAATGTTTGGACAAACTACATTCTTTGGTTCCACCGAGTCTAACCTTCACAGCTAGGACCTGCCATGCCACTTACATAGTAGCAAACCACCCACATTCCCCCCGTATTCCATTGGTGAGAAGTAAGTTCCACTCAAACCTATTTTCCCGGAAATATACTCCCAAGAGGATGTTTCCCCGACCACTACAATCTTAACCTATTCATATCTAGAGTCAACCGTTATCTTTTCCTCCTATCCATATAAACTACTCCTTTATGTAAACCTCTACCTTTAGTGACCCCCGGGCATTGAACTGGATGAACCTTACTGTAAAAGAAAAAAAAATATTGGATATGTTATTTAATCCTCACTATATTATTGAACAGATCCAAATTATTTTTTCATTTATTTTCCTCGGGTTTAACTTTTGCTTATCATTTGCAGTAAATGTAGAGAGCGTTATAAATGCATTTTCTGTCAGCTGAAATGTTATTTTAATTATAGTAAACATTTTTTTACTCCACTCCATCGAGTTTGACTGCAATATTACTTGTTAATTCCTTTCATATAGTGGTTGACTAAGCTAGGCCGAAAGTGTGGGGCACTCAGTGAGGGTCGAACTCACGACTCAGTCGTAATTGATCTAGCGTGCCAATCTTGCGAACCATTACATCATGTGGGAGTGGCCGATTTCCTTCTATATAATGATTTCGTAAGCGCAGCTTAAGTATGACACAAGGCGGAAAGTGTGGAGCACTCAGTGAGTATCGAACACACTCCGCAGTCCTAATTGATCTGCCGTGCTAATCTTGCTAGCCATTACAACATGTGGGTGTGGACGATTTGCTCTTACATCTTACTTATTATAAAACGCAGATTGTGTGCGTGTGTGTGTGTGTGTGTGTGTGTGTGTGTGTCTGTACGTTTATATATTGGATCGGATTTCCTACATTTTTCAACCGATTTCAACAAAACTTCACAGGACTACATAAAATTACCTTGCGGTGGTTCTAACAGCGCCAAAAATTGGAAAAACACGAAATCAATTTGAAAACACGATTAAGAGGCATCACGAGAATAAAAGGGGGGCAACTCATATCGAGTTATACTTATAAAACCCAGGTTGTTTGTGTGTTCGTTATATATTGGATCGGATTTCCTACATTTTTCAACCGATTTCAACAAAACTTCACTTTTTTTTTTGGCAGGTAGTGTTTCTTATTGTCTTGTACACTTGTTTCTTTATTTTTAAATACAGAAAAAATTCCATTTACAAGACAATTGTTTATAATAAAGTTCTATTCAATCGGTAGATCCATAACGATTGAAAACAAACCAATTCGTAAAAAAAAAACTAATTAAGACATGCGTGTCCGTCAACCTTAAACAATAATCTTTGTTAATTTTATTTTTCAGTCTTTATGATGGTCGATGCTTGATCTATCTCTTACTGCTGCGTCCCCGGGCAACGCCGGGCTCTACTGCTAGTAGTGATTAAGTAAGCGTAGCTTAAAAGTGACACAAAGCGAAAATTGTGAAGTACGAAATGAGGGTAGAACTCAAGACTCAGTACGTAATTGAAGATTCTATAGGTGACAAGCTTGCTAGTCATTGCACCACTTTGAAGTGGCCAATTTCCATTTAAACAACTTGAGACAGATGCAAGATATAGTGATTTATTTCGCGTAACTAGATCGTGAAAAAATGAGTTTTAAGTGTAGCACAAAGGTCGAAAGTATAAAACATCCAGTAAGGATCGAACTCACTACTCTGTTGTAATGTGACCTCACGTGACAAGGGAGTTAAGCTTAGTGCTTGTCGAACTTTCTACCTTCAACAAGACAGGAAACAGACGAGGTTATGCCGAAGGGTTGCGTCCCGTCTGGGGAGGTAGACAAACACGACCCAGTTCATATGGGGTCTACGAGGCGTATTTGATCCGGCCTACGGGCTCGGAACGCCTCACGTTAAAAAAACGGCCTTGTGCCACATTCCCGCCTTGTTGGGAGGACTTTGGTAAATACAAGGTCTTAGCCGTGCTTATCAAACTTTCTGCCTTCGGGCACAGAGGAACCAGACGAGGCTATGCCGAAGGGTAGCGTCCGGTGTGGCGGGGGAGGTAAACAAACCCGACCCGTTATTACGGGGTATACGGGGCATGTTTGATCGGGTCTACGGGCTTGGAACGTCTCACGTTAAAAAAAACGGCCTTGTGCCACATTCCCCGCCTTGTTGGGAGGACTTTGGTAAATACAAGGTCTTAGCCATGCTTATCAAACTTTCTGCCTTCGGGCACAGAGGAACCAGACGAGGCTATGCCGAAGGTAGCGTCCGGTGTGGCGGGGGGAGGTAAACAAACCCGACCCGTTATTACAGGGGTATACGGGGCATGTTTGATCGGGTCTACGGGCTTGGAACGTCTCACGTTAAAAAAACGGCCTTGTGCCACTTTCCCGCCTTGTTGGGAGGCGTTGGGTAAATAATAGGTCTTAGCCGCGCTTGTCGAACTTTCTGCCTTCGTGCAGACAGGAACCAGACGAGGCTATGCCGAAGGGAAGCTTCACGTCTGGGGAGGTAGACAAACCCGATCCCGTTCATACGGGGTCTACAGGGCATGTTTGGTCCGGCCTACGGGCTCAGAACGCCTCACTTTAAAAAACGGCCTTGTGCCACATTCCCGCCTTGTTGGGAGGACTTGGGTAAATACTAGGTCTTAGCCGCGCTTGTCGAACTTTCTGCCTGCGTGCAGACAGGAACCAGACGAGGTTATGCCGATGGGTAGCGTCCCGTCTTGGGAGGTAGACAAACCCGACCCCGTCATGACGGGGTCTACGGGTAATTTTTGCCCGGGCTGACAGGCTTGGAACGCCCTATGTTAAAAAACAGGCCTTAAGCCACATCCCGCTTTGTAAGGAGGACTTTAGTAAATACTAGGTTTTTGTCGCTCGTTTAGTTCTTAGCGATTGTCGAACTCTCTGCCTTTGGACAGAGAGGAACCAGACGAGGTTATGCCGAAGGGAAGAGTCTTGTATGGGGAGGTAGACAAACCCGACTCCGTTCATACGGGGGTCTACGGGGAATTTTTGCCCGGGCCTACGAGCTCGGAAAAACCCATGTTAAACCGACCTTGTGCCACATTCCGCTTTGTGGGGAGATCGGATAAATACTGAGCATTAGGTTATTTGCGCTAAGTATACCTTCATGTAGTAAACCTTCTATTTCATTACTTACCTAAGAGTTTGTTTTCCTTATTTATTTCTCTCTGTTATCTCAAAAACATGAGATACAACAAGACATGACTATCAAGTAGAGTCTACCTTTTTGACTCTTGTACAAATCGCAGCCATGTCTACCTTTTTTAACTCTCATGAACAAGCGCCATTTTTTACTCTTACACAATGAATGAAAAATGACAAAAGTGATCAGGAATTTATAGTTCATTTACAAGAGTGAAATGAACCACTTGTTTGTTTGGCTCAGGTCCAGGGGCCCAAACTGAGGCTAAATTTCACCCAGCAGATTATTGAGGAGAGTTAGGATTAGGTCCATTGCTAAGTGTACCTTCATGTAGTAAACCTTCTATTTCATTACTTATCTAAGAGTTTGTCTTCCTTATTTATTTCCCTATGTTATCTCAAAAACACAAGATTAGATAGATAGATAGATAGGTTGATAGATAGATAGATAGATAGATAGATAAGAACAGACTATAATAGGACATAAATGAATGGAATTCTCCATTTATGTAAATAAGCAGAGTTGAGGAGAGTTAGCATTAGGTCAGTTGCTAATTATACCTTGGTGTAATAAATCTACTATTTCATTACTTACCTAAGAGTTTGTCTTCCTTATTTATTTCTCTCTATTATCTCAAAAACACGAAATACAACACACATATAGAAAGAAGAGAGTTGAGCCCCCTGAACTCTGTTGCACATGTTAATAGCTCTTTTACAAAATAATCAACATTTCTTAAAGGCATACATTTCTTCTTCTTTTCTTTGCAGGAATCCAACAAGCAGGACAAAAGTGACGAAGAATCACGAAGCTTAGTTGAACCCGAGCCGAGCAAACGACAACAGTCAACGCAAATGAAGTTTATAATTCTGCACTACTCTCCCTTCAAAGCCGTTTGGGATTGGATAATCCTGCTTCTAGTTCTGTACACAGCAGTGTTTACACCTTATTCGGCGGCCTTCCTCCTTAACGAGGACGAGATTCGTATGAAACTCAACAGGGATGCTGCGACGCGCCTGAAAAACGCCGAGACCAGCAAGGCGGACCCTCTGGTGATAATTGACCTCCTAGTTGACATTATGTTCATAGCTGACATACTCATTAACTTTAGGACTACTTTTCTTCAAAATGGCGAAGTAGCCAGCGATCCACAACTGATCGCCAAGCATTACGTGAAAGGATGGTTTCTTATTGATGCTATTGCTGCTATTCCGTTTGATCTACTTTTATTCGGTTCAGGTACCAGTGATGTAAGTACAGACGACATTTTTCAACTCTTTTTTTCTTTTCTTTTTTTTCGTTATAGTTATATTTATAAAGCGTCTCTCTTGTATGATATAAACATGGCTGCCATTTTGTAAACCGATTTTTTTATAATTACATTTAAAAATCGTTGAGTTTACGTGAAGAATCTGATGTAAGTACAGCCGCCATTTTTCAAGTATTTTTCTTTTTTGTTAAAGTTATATTTATTAAGCATCTCTCCTGTATGATATAATATATTTTTCAAGTATTTTTTTGTTAAAGTCACATAACTAAAACGTCGGTCTTGTATGATATAAACATAGCCGCCATTTTATAAACCTATTTGTTTTTAGTTACATTTATAAATCGTTGAGTTTACGTGAAGAATTTGATGTAAATACAACCGCCATTTTTCCAGTATTTTTCTTTTTTTGTTAAAGTTATATTTATTAAGCGTTTCATTCTTATGATACAAACATAGCCGCTTTTTTGTAAACTTATTTTTTTTAGTTACATTTATAAATCTTTGAGTTTACGTGAAGAATCTGATGTAAATACAGCCACCATTTTTCCAGTATTTTTCTTTTTTTGTTAAAGTTATATTAATTAAGCGTCTCATTCGTATGATAGAAAAACATAGACGCCATTTTGTAAACCTATTTGTTTTAGTTACATTACTTAATCGTTGAGTTTACGTGAAGAATCTGATGTAAATACAGCCGCCATTTTTCAAGTATTTTTGTTTTTTGTTAAAGTTATATTTATAAATCCTCTCATTCGTATGATAGAAAAACATAGACGCCATTTCGTAAACCTATTTGTTTATAATTACATTTATAAATCGTTGACTTTACGTAAAGAATCTGATGTACATACAGCCGCCATTTTTAAAACCTTTTTTATGATTATATTTATAAAACACCATTTTTGTATTAATCCGATGAAAATATAACCACCTTATTTTAAACCCTTTTATAATTATATTTATAATGCATCAGACAAATGGGATGAAAATACAGCCGCCATTTTTAAAACTTCTTTTATAGTTACATCTCCGAAGCATCAGTTTTATATTATGAATGCGATGATAATACAAAATAAAAAGTAGTCCCCTCCCACCTCTCATTGTCTGCTAAGTTGCATCAAGATCGCCCAACTAGTTTTCAAGATATCAAAAAATGGCTGGATACATACCGGACAAAACTCTAATAAGTTTATTTTGCATGTGTTTTATATGTGAGAGAAAAAAAATGAAAAATAGAAAGGGAGGGGGGTAGAGAAAAAAAAAGGAAGAGGTGCAAGTAGGAGGAGGTACAAAAAAGAGAGTGGGAGGATTTAATTGAGACTCTAGAGGGAGAGGGAAAGAGAGAGATATACGGACCGAAAGAAAGAAAGAGAGATGAGGAGCTAGATGAAAACTTTAGAGAGAGAGAGAGAGAGAGAGAGAGAGAGAGAGATGAGCACACATATATGGATGGACAGAGGAAGAAAGAAAGAGGTAAAATGAGAAAGAGAGTGTGCGAGATAGAAAGACAGGGATTCATAGAAGTAGATCGAGCGGAAAAGAAATATGTTTATGGAGAACGTGAGAGGGGAAAGAAAGAGAAATATATAGAGAGGAAAGGTGAGAGAAATATAGAGAGAGGAAAGGTGAGAGAAATATAGAGAGAGGAAAGGTGTGAGAAATATAGAGAGAGGGAGGGGAGAGAAATATAGAGAGAGGAAAGGTGAGAGAAATATAGAGAGGGGAAAGGAGAGAAATATATAGAGAGGAAAGGTGTGAGAAATATATAGTGAGGAAAGGTGAGAGAAATATAGAGAGAGGGAGGGGAGGGAAATATAGAGAGGGGAAAGGAGAGAAATATAGAGAGAGGAAAGGTGAGAGAAATATAGAGAGAGGAAAGGTGTGAGAAATATAGAGAGAGGAAAGGTGTGAGAAATATAGAGAGAGGAAAGGTGAGAGAAATATATAGAGAGGAAAGGTGAGAGAAATATAGAGAGAGGAAAGGTGAGAGAAAAAGAATGAGTGATAAAGAAATACAGAGGGAAAAGAATAAAAAAAAAAACCGGAAAGATGGAAGTAAAGGTACAGAGAGAGAAAAAGAGAGAGGATTAGGAAGTAGTGAGAAAGTGGGCGCTGGGAAATAGATGGGGAGAGAGAAAGTAATCACGTGATTCCTTGTAAGCCATCTCTTTGGAGAACGCCTAACAGGATTTTAACAAACGCGTCTCTCAAACCAATTCGTTAGTGTAGCAAACTCGATAATCACAAATGTCCCTCTCATGTAAAATTTTACTAGCCTCAGATACACTTATTGACTAACTATAAACCATGTTACTAGCAAATACTCTTTTTGAATCCTTATAAGCAAGCTAAGCTACTGAACTTTCTCACATCAAATTCTGGGATCGACGAGGCCAGATGAAATTGACTCACGCAGCTGACTCAACAAGCCCATTATGAACATTTCTGGAAGTCACATTAAGATAATAGAAGTAATTTATGTAAACACTATTAGTTTTAATTTCATTATTCTCGTGTTTCGCAATCTAAATTAGAATATCGAAACTCCTAATTCACTGGGTCATTAGGCTAATAGGAATTAAATATTCTGGGAAAAAAAAATTCCCATGATCTATTAAATTCTCTGCCAGCCTATAATTAAATTGACCAAGGCTGTATTTACTCTCAAAATACATATTTGAAACAACCTGTTCTCCTATTTAGAAGAATAAATGTCTTGCAATTGGCCCAAGGTTACGGAATTATAGCGATAATAAGGTTATTTTGATCGTGAATGTTTGGCCAATTTATTTTATGAAATCAAAATGCTTCATTGTTTCATTAACTATTTTTTTTTATAATTTTCTTTTATCAAACTGAAGATGTGTTTTAACTGCAATTTACAATAGCTTCTTTCTGAGAACATCAGATTCAAATAATTTAATTAATAAGTCTAAATCATTAGAAGCCAAAAAAAGTTGTTTTTTTTTTCACTTCTGGATTAATTATTATCGTCTTTTTTTAATGTCCACAATTCGGCGTTTGTTGCTAGTAGCGCGGTTTCTAACTCGGCCCACAATAGTGATTTTCTAAGCACAGCTTAGATGTAGCACAGGGCCGAGAATGTGGAGCACCCAATGAGGATCGAACTCACTATTTAGTCAATACTGTTTTTAGCGAGACAAGCTTGCTAACCATTACACCAAGCCGACGTGCCTACTTCACACCACGATATAAATATTTTTGAAATAACATATTTCTGAACGGTTAAAAGGGGAGGCATTTTCAGTTTGTTTCATTCGAGATCAGCAGATATCGTCAATTGGTGTTGTTTTTTTTCCATTGATTAGGGAATCATTTATTCCTCAATCAAGTTTAAATTTCAAATTGGCATTAGGTTATGTCATATTTCTTGGAGTATTTGCCTGCAAATAAACAAAGAAAAACAAGCCAAATACAGTGCTAGTATGCATGCATATATTTTAAAGAGTGGTCAGAACGTTCGCTTTCTGATCATGAGACACGGGTTCGAATCTTACCACGGTTGATTTGTCAGAAGGTAGACTGGCTAATTTGCCTTTTCAGCCCCGCACTAAATATATAATAAAAATTTCCGGAATAGTTATATTTAAGTGTAAATTTACATGCTTAGTTCGAAAATAACAAAGAAGTAATAATAAAATCTACCGTTTAGGACTTATCGACAATAAAATTTCGAACTCATTCGCGTTACGGCACGGCCGCCATTACTCGCGTTGTTTCCATACATTCGTTGCTGATAAGATTCGCACGAAAGATTACATTGTTAAGGGCCTTTTTACGGCTCATGATTCAATTACTACACAACTGAGGATTCGTTGCGTGCGCCATAATTAAGACTTTTCCGCAGCAAATATAGGCAAACAACACCAGTAATGGCTGGCGCGACACGAATGAATCCGTAATTCTATTTTTGATAACTCCAAAACGGTAGATTTTATCAAAATTTCTTTGTTATTTTCGAATTAAGCATATATATTTACACCTAAATATAACTATTCGGGAAATTTTTATTTCGTATTTAGCGCGGGGCCTTAAAAGCAAAAAGACCCAGCAGACTTCCTGACGTCATCGGTCTGGAGTGGGACGATTCCAGCGTGGGGTACCCTTGGAAAGTCCCTGAACTGCTTGGCATTCTAGAGGAAAAGACCAATACAAACATTTCAGAGTGCTTGGGTGTCAAAGGACGGTGCAGAGAATTCGGAAAGAGTTAGACGAGTTTAATGGTGATTACGAAGGTACGACAGCTCTGAAAAGTCACTCTGGTCGTTCTGATAAGAAAGGAACTCCAGAATTTGTTTGTGGGGACCTCAGACTCAACACAGAGGCCTACAAGTGCCTTAAGGAAGCAATGCTGCCCTAGGTCAAGAGGGTGTGTGTTGGAGTGCCCTATGTCTGGGCACAGTACTCTGCACCATGTCACACTAGAAGGAGAACACAGTCATGTCTGTCAGACAATTACTACGACCACATCACTCCTTACATCTGGCCATTTAACTCTCCAGACTGCAACCACCTTGATTATTATATGTGGGGCACAGTTGAACGAGAGACCAACAAAACTCTTTGTAACACCAAAGATGAACTGAAGGCAAAGATTATGGCAGCCTTCACCAAGTTAAACAAGGAGACCGTCTAGAAGGGTTGCAAGAGATTCCGAAGTCATCTGGAGACCCTGGCTGAATCCGACGATTTTATTGAATAAATTTACTCTTTAGTATTTTAAGATATTTTTGTGTAAATTTGGTAAATATATCTGTTAAAATGAGATGTCAGTGTTATTCTCGTTTTTGAGTCATTCAGACGATAATTTATCCATTGTACCCTGTACACTTAGGTCCTTATATTAGGTGAACAGTAGTATAAAATCATGTGCCTTATCTTCCGTTAAATACAGTCATCTTTATATTTACTTGGTAACGATGGTATGTTTCTAAATTGAAAAGCTGAATCGGCGAATGCCATTGATTTCAATCTACGTTTCAAAAATCTGGCACCAACTCCGTTCAGAATATCAAGTCGTTGTCGTCCGATCACACCAGCCTGCTTGTAGGCCAGATGCAAAGAAGAGGC